TGTGTGTGTGTGTGTGTGTGTGTGTGTGTGTGGCAATTCCCATAGATAGATCTTAGACAAGGCACACCCAGTTACCTGTAGGCAGATCAACACCAACTGAGGCCAGGTACAGGGTGTGGTTGGTCCACAATGCCACGGAATGGACCAGAGGGAATAGGTTTTCTCTCTGGTCCATTCCCAGAGTCATCCCCCCCCCCCCCAAGCTCACCGGCGATTGCAACAGCCCAGCACAGCCAGTAGAGGAAATACCATCCTCCCGTGTTGTGCACTGATGTTGGAAGTCTTGCCGTGGACACGCTGAACTACAACCACCAACACCCCCTCCATCAGCTGGTAAGCTGTCTCTTTTCAAAAAACTTCAGTATGGCAGCTGTATTGACCTTGGCTTCATACACACAATACCTTTGAAGCACATTCAAAGCATATTTTTCCCCTCTGAGAATTCTGGGCACTGTAGGTTATTAAGGCTTTGTGGGAATTGTAAGTCTGCGAGAAGTAAACATGGATGCCCAGAAATCTATGGGGTGGGGATGTGCTTCAAATACAGTGGTACCTCAGGTTACATACGCTTCAGGTTACAGACTCCGCTAACCCAGAAATAGTGCTTCAGGTTAAGAACTTTGCTTCAGGATGAGAACAGAAATCATGCTCTGGCGGTGCGGCGGCAGCAGGAGGCTCCATTAGCTAAAGTGGTGCTTCAGGTTAAGGACAGTTTCAGGTTAAGAACGGACCTCCGGAATGAATTAAGTGCTTCACCTGAGGTACCACTGTATGCTTTAAAGGTGTGGTGTGAATGCTTGTGATCCCCACCAAAAGGTAATCAGGTAGAGAAGCTTTACTAAAAAAAAAAAAAGAAGAAGAAGCAGAAGAAGAAGCAGAAGCAGAAGCAGAAGCAGGAGAAGCAGGAGAAGAAGAAGCAGCCTTAGACCACCAATTACCAGCATAGGCATTTCTTGAAATTTAGTACAATATTTTTAAAAATCACAATCATTTAAAAACAAACAAAAAAGCAACATTCCCACATTCCATTCTATGGCATTCAAATTGTAATACGATAAAATACACACCCACACACCCACCACACAGCATCTAGCACAGCACATTGCAATAGCTGCAACAGACAGAAAAATCCTGAAATGATCCACTAAAACCCTTTTCATTCTTCAAATGGTCCATTGTGGTGATGGCGGGATTTGGAAACCACTGGTCAAAATTAAGGTGATGCAGCCGGTGGTCCCAGGCAGATGGAAACGCCCCTTTTCCAATCTTTCTTTCTTCATATTTTCTTTTAAATATTCTGTGCGCATTCCCGCCCCCTTCAATAAATGATGACAAAAGATTCCCCCCCCCCTTAATATGTCATGTCTAGTCTGCGGCTCCTTTGACAAGTGAAGCGTTAAACAACATCTAATTAAGCACCATGAACGATGGCCTAAATATGGAGAGAGACGGCATATAATTTTGCCTGCTGCGTAGATGACTCACTCTGCATTGAAAATTTCTTCTGGAACCTATTTTCTTGTAGTGTTTATGAAAAGCAAGAGGGCTTCTCTTAACCCTCCCTCCCCACCACTCCCCCACTCCCCTCTTTTTCTTTTTCTTTTCTTTTTTATGGTCCATTCTTCATTAGAAGTGCATAACCGCTAAAATGCTTAATATTTCCTGCTATGTGCCCCATCCTGCTTGCTGCTTACAAAAGTATTTTCGCTTGTTATTGACTTCCAATTTAATATTAATTTGCAGCACAAAGTGCTGATCAAAATCGTTATCAAGACACGCCTGTTGCTTTCCCTTTCCCGGTGCTGTTAACGGTGTTGCCATAGCAACCCAAGGCAGCGAGTTTAAGCAGAGTTGGAAAAGTCTAATAACCGTGTCCGTCTGTTGCAATGCATACTGCAAGCTTATTGTGTGGGCAAGTCACTTATAGGTACCCATCCCTCAAATTGGTGACATATATCCTTGCATTCAGAACAGAGGAACAGAAAGCTGCCTTCTGCTAAGTCATTCCATTGGATGATCTAGCTCGGTCACACAGGTGTTTTTAGCAGCCCCACCTGAAGATGCCAGGCATTGAAATGGGACTTACTTCATGCAAAACAGTTGCTCTGCCACTGAGCTGTGACCCTTCCCTATGCCTCAATACCTTGTGTGGTGTAGTGGTTAAGAGTGGTAGACTCGTAATCTGGTGAACCGGGTGTGGTGTTTGCCTCCTAGGATGGGTCATAAGGAAAGGGTTAAAATAGGTGTGATGTGATTGGCCAGTGAGAATGCAAGGGGGGAATAAAAGTTAGAGTGGGAGGTTTTGAAAGTCAGTTGAGTGAAGTTGAGGTTTGGGAGCTGAGTTGAGTTGAGAGTTGAGGTTTGGGAGTTGAAGAAGGAAGAGAGAGGTTTAGGTGTGGGTTGGTAGAGTTGTATTGTGAGAGAGTGAGAGGAATTGTTAGGTGGAGTCAGATAGATAGTTGGAATAATAAGTTTGGAGTTGTTAGGAATTTAGAATAAGAAACTGACAAAAGAAAAATTAACTAAAACCATAAGCTTGTTCCTGCATGTAAAAATAAACTTGATTATTTGTTTGTTAACAACTGACTGGACTCCATGTGTCCCAGGGAGATACGGGGTGGTGGCAGCGGAAAAAGCAATCACAGTGGCGGCACAGGGTCAATAGACCGTCAAACATCCGGGGGCCCTGTGTGTGATCGCCACACCAGGTTCGTGTCTCCGCTCCTCCACATGCAGCTGCTGGGTGACCTTGGGCTAGTCATACTTCTTTGAAGTCTGTCAGCCCCACTCACCTCACAGTGTGTTTGTTGTTGGGGAGGAAGGGAAAGGAGATTGTTAGCCGCTTTGAGACTCCTTCGGATAGTGATCAAGCGGGATCCAAACTCCTCCTCCTCCTCCTCCTCTTCTTCTTCTTCTTCTTCTTCTTCTTCTTCTTCTTGGAAAGTCTTGCTTCAAACACTCCTCTATCTGAAGTTCAACAAGCACTAGGCCAGGATTTTTCAAATTGGGTCTCCTGTTGTTTTTGGACCACAACTCCCATTATCCCAAGCTAGCAGGACCAGTGGTCAGGGATAATAGGAATTGCAGTCCAAAAACAGCTGGAGACCCAAGTTCGGGAAATACACTGAGGACCTTGTTTGTGGTTGCAGCCTCCCAGTGACACTTTCTAGCCACTGGCAGTTTGCTAGGCTCAAAGCCTTCAAAGAGGTGGCTAAGGCTTCGTTCTCACTGAGATGGTTAATTTGGTCTACTAGGCTGCACGATTGGGTGTAGCACTTCAGACCGTGTGTTGCATACTTCATGAATAAATGGCTGCCTTCGCAAAATGTTCCTCCCTGCAGAAGGAAAGCTAGCATATCAAGGTGAAGGTTAAGCCAGAACTCTTTTCCCTGGCATGTTTGCTTTCTATATGTTGGGAGGTATAAAGGAGAATGCAATCATGCAAATATCCAGAAGCGGTACAGGTGTCAGCCGAACCTCAGTGAGACCCTGGCACAGGGATCGCCCAGTCATGAGGCAAGGTGGCCTCAGATGGCAGGACCTACAGTAGCAGCAGATCCCAATGTGGATTTTTATTCTTCCCTTGTACCTGATGTAGATCTTCACTCACCACTTCTTTGCTGTTGGGGTGGCAGGCAGCAAATTGTGGTTCCCCTCAGGTGCAAAAATGTCATGGGCCGGTGGTCCTGCCTAGGCCTTAGACCTGCATAACCTCCAATACTTCTCCGATGAAAATAGGGATGTTCTTTTTTAATAAATAAATAAATAAATAATTTAAATTACACACATTTACAAAGAATTTTCAAAGAATTTACAATCTCATGCTACAAAAAGAAAATTAAAGAAAAAACAAGAAGAAAGAAAAGAAGAAAATGCTGAAAAAAGAAAGAAGAAAAAGCAGATTTACGTGCATAAAAAACTTAATCTTCCTAATTAATACTTAAATAAACACTTAAATAAAAAAGACTTCTGACAAAAAAACGACAACAGTATAAACAGTACAATGAAAATGATTGGAATACTCATTTTGTCAGAAAATAGGGATGTTCTAAGGAAAATCAGGACATTCCAGGATCAAATCAGAAACCAAGATAGCTTCTGTAAATCTGGGACTGTCCCTTTAAAGTAGGGACACTTGGAGAGTTTGGACTTGAATGGTCAGAAAGGCTTTTTTCTGGTGGTGAAGCGGTAGAATAGGCTTTAAGGGAAGTAGAGCTCCTGAAATGTTATGCTATTTGTGATGGTTTGATGGTATTCAATTGCTTTTTTAGTTGGTTGCTATGGTCCTATAGTGACTCTGTTAGCTGTAACTTATAAGTGAGATATTCCTTTTTGAAACAAATACCCTGTGCATAATGCCATTGCGGAATAATAGCAATCAGAAAACTTCATAGTACTCAGAGCCATTCACAAATGTTCTTTCAGTAATCCTTACAACAGTCCTTCACTATAAAATATGGCACTTAAAAGAAGATCATCTGCCAGGCAGCAGTCTTGTTGATGAGACGGTTCGGATGGAATATGAGTTTGCTTGTGACCTCCCACAGGGCCTAGGGATAGGCAGGGTATTTCACTGACGACTAAAATGCAATGCAGTATGGTTTATCTTTCACTGGCTTTGGACTGAACTATATGTGCACACTTTTGAATTATGGTGCTGGAGGAGACTCTTGAGAGCCCCATGGACCGCAAGAAGAACAAACCTCTCCATTCTTAAGGAAATCAGCCCTGAGTGCTCACTGGAAGGACAGATCCTGAAGCTGAGGCTCCAATACTTTGGCCACCTCATGAGAAGAGAAGACTCCCTGGAAAAGACCCTGATGTTGGGAAAGATGGAGGGCACAAGGAGAAGGGGATGACAGAGGACGAGATGGTTGGACAGTGTTCTTGAAGCTACTAGCATGAGTTTGACCAAACTGCGGGAGGCAGTGAAAAACAGAAGTGCCTGGCGTGATCTGGTCCATGGAGTCACGAAGAGTCGGACACGACTAAACAACAACAATATGTCTGTGTGTGTGTGTGTGTGTGTGTGTGTGTGTGCGCACACACACACACACACACACACACACAGAAATTACAAGGCTAAAATGGCAACATTCAGATTTTCCTTGTGTCCTGATATTGTTCCAACATGTTAGAAGCTCCTAACCAAAGCCTCCCGATTTGCTTGCAAAATGCTTATGTGGACCTTAGACTCTGTCCGGTTTTTATTGAGCATTCATTCTGATTTCTTTGTGGGGCAGTTATACAGTAATGAGCATTCGTCCTGATTCGCTTGCAGGGTGTTCATACATCTTCCTGTTACCCATTTCTTCATCAACAAGTGACAATCTATTTCTTTATCAGTTCCATAACCCCAATCTCCATGTGTATGTTTGTGTGTGTTTAATTACTTTTTTTGTACTAGGGAAACAGATTACTCCAATTGCACAAAGCTAAATTTCTGGCATGCACCTGAATTCCTCCTGTAAAACCATGCATCCCCAAACTCAGCCCTCCAGATGTTTTGGGACTACAGTTCCCATCATCCCTGACCACTGTTCCTGTTAGCTAGGGATGATGGGAGTTGTAGTCCCAAAACATCTGGAGGGCTGAGTTTCGGGATGCCTGTGTAAAACAGTGACAACTGGGAGGCACCCTAAGATGCTCAGGAATAGAAACTAGCATATGAAGAGGCAAGCAGAGAAGGCTCATTCAGGAATAGGTACATTACTCAGACAAATGAGAGTTTATTGAGAGGACATTCTTGTGAAGGACTAAGAGATGTAAAATATAGTTCTAAAATAATCATATTTATGAACGGTCTGAAGCCATTACTTGATTAGAATTACATCTTTGCTCTATTTTCGCCAGGTGTCAGAAAGAGATATGGGTCCGTGGACAGTTCTATTTAGGGGAACAAATATGCTTCTTCTTAGGGGAATTGTTAGTGACACTGAGCCAGCAATTCAAGAGGGATAGCTAATACAGAATAGTCTTTCGCAAGTCATGATTAACTAAAGGGGTTTCATTCTTTGTTCATTCTGACACAGCATTAACTGAAACCTTCATCTCTGAAAAACGGTCAGAGCAGACTTTTTGTAACAGCCATTTTAGCTGAATTATTAAGGCTTAAAGCCTTTTCCATTATGTTATCCTAGTATGCAATGTATAGAACCTTATTCTATATCAAGATTGGTAATGCGTTCAGGCAAATCACTTTGACTTTCAATATATCCAAATAAGGTTTCCTTGGTGTGTGTTTTTTGACAAGTCAAAGACAGGGACTCAATGGAGCTGAAGGGGGTGAAATCTACATTTGAAATCAGTCCTGTCTATGGTGCAAGGATGAGCAAATCTGTCAATGGAAGTTTCTCATTTTTCTGATCTGAAATCCTAATGAAAATTCATCAGCATTGTACTGCAAAATTTGACCAATATGCAATCTTCTCTTATATGCACACTTTTTTGCAAAGCTATTTTCACCAATACAAAACATATATGTACCACATTATTTGGATGGAGATCTGCATTTGTTAGTTCTGCTCTGAGGCCGCCTCTGTTCCAGAAAAGTAAATTCTTCATAACTACCAAATTCCATCAGGTGTCATCCTTAACCTACCAGATATTGACTTGACCCCCTTAACATAGCATCCCATGTTTCTGAAAAACCTCCAGAAACCACAGAGGCCTATAATTCTCAGGCACAACAACACAGCATATTTCATCTCCAGAAATACAAGCCGTAACTTCCACCCATCACCTCAAGCTAATTCATGGATATATATATTTGTTGGTTGGTTGTTTTTTGTTTTGTTTTATTTTACACAAGACCTGAACAGTACTGGTTGATATAAAGTTATTTCTTTCAATGCATTTGCACTCTGAAACATACTGTGGGTTGTGCTTTTCAGAAGAGCGTTTTAAAATGTCAGACTTGTAGATACTTCACTAAAAAAGTATTTTTCAGAAAGTGAAATTAGCCACCCAAAATCGCTTCCAGAACAAGAAACAACTCAGGACTGCAATACCTTAAGGACTGTCTCCCCAAGTGAACTGACCCAGCAACCACCATCTGATACCCTTCTTCAAAAGTTCCAGAGGGTGGCAATATGAGGAAGGCTCACCTGGCCCCTTTGATACACATCTTTAGGTGCCAGGGGAAACATTATCCTTCTCCCAGGTGTAGGGGTCAGATGGGATTACCATGAGGAATTATAAAATATACATCAAGCCATCGTGTCCACGATGAAGACATTGTGTTGACTGGGTTTGATATATTGATGATAATTTCTGATTAAATCCCATAAGATTCTACATTCATGCCCTTTTGATGCCCTTTTGCCTCTGCTGCCCATTTCTCCTTGCCTGGCGAATCACGTACACACTTAGACAGGCAGGCGTCCTGTGTCCTCAAAGACTGGGCAGTTTCGTCTTTGTAGTTTTCTAATAGGTAATCTTAGGATCTTAATCTTAGGGCCAGGAAGCAGATCTCACATGAAGGTGTTAACGGTCGCTGTCCTCCTGGCCATCCTCCTTATCATATGTGTATTGCTTGTTTATTACCTCCTGGGTTGCCAGATACTCTTCTTTGTAGTTCTCAACTTATTTACCCCAGAAATATTTGTGCTTAATTAGTTTTAGTGGTTTAACTTTCTCCCCACGTGGGTTTGTGGAAATGCTCAGAAGAAATCTGATTGGTTCTTACGAACACTCTGTAAAAAGTTCTTTTGTGAATAAAAAACGGCCTGGGCCAGGGGGCTGCAGACATGGACAGGCGCAGAGAGACACGATTATATGCACCCTTCCCAGAGTCTTGCTGGTTCAAGTCTCTGTGTGTATTCTTATTAATCAGGGTCCAATCCTTCCTTTACTTTGCAAACGCAACACCAGGTCTTTGGCTAATTAAACCATCTATGGCCTTTGAAACTGGGGGGAGAGGGTAATTGTTTTGTTTGTGATGTACATTGTGTGTTTCTGTGGTTTTTATATTGTAAGATGAACCCTTTTTTCTTCCATCTTGAAGTGTAGAAGTGGCCAACATTTCAATTTACATTCCAGATTGTTAGACGTCATCATGCTTCTAGATCCTGAAAATAAATAAATACTGTAAGTGGAAATGTTAGGGTGATACACTCTGGCAAAAATTATGACACAGACCAACAGATTTGTTACTCTAATGACATGATCATCTTTCCCTCACTTGTTACTTTAATTAACTTTTTAATGGACTTTTAATAAAAGACCATTTGCAATTAAGGTGTATATTTGTTCTGGTATGAACTCATTATATACTGTCTTTCCTAATCAATGCTTGTGGTTATGAAATCCCGGCTAAAAATTTGATTATGCATAGAATTAAATAATAGTAATGGCATTGGAGATATTAGTAATGTCACGACATGGTTTCCTGGATCCAGTGCAGAACTAGTTATTGTCTATGTACTCAGATGTCTACATTTAAATGTGAGTCAGGGTCTCTCTTGTCATTAACACAGATGTTCTTACAGTATGTCCAAGACAGCTGATTGCTCTGTGTCCCTTCCACTCCCATAGACCTCACACCAATAGATTACTCTTTATCCATCCATGTTGCATTGTAATGTATGGGAACACATTCCGCAACAGATAGTGGATCATCCGTTAGTTGGCTGTAGACAGAGTTAGACAAAATCATGGAGGATGATATGTGTGTGTCATTTTCTGTTAACCATAATAATTCCATGAAACCTCTGTGGTCATGTCCTGCTTCCAGGAGCCTTGTGGGCTTCCTGGAGGCATTTGGCTGGCTACTGTAAGAACTCGGGTGCTGGACAAAATTGGCCTTTGGTTTGATCCACAAGTTATCTATCTATCCATTCATCTATCCACTATGGTATTTGTATTCAGTATGTCCAGCACCGAGGTCCTACTGGCAGTTCCCTCGCTGCAAGAAGCGAAGTTACAGGGAACCAGGCAGAGGGCCTTCCCGGTGGTGGCGCCCGCCCTGTAGAACGCCCTCCCATCAAATGTCAAAGAAATAAACAACTATCTCACGTTTAGAAGACATCTGAAGGCAGCACTGTTTAGGGATGTTTTTAATGACTGATGTTTTAATGTATTTTTAATCTTTTGTTGGAAGCAGCCCAGAGTGGCTGGGGAAACCCAGTCAGATGGGCAGGGTATAAATAATAAATTGTTGTTGTTGATGCTGCTGCTGCTGTTGCTGTTGTTATTATTATTAATATAAAGGATCTAAAAATATCCAAGATTTAAAGATGGAAGAACCTGGGAAAGAAAAACATCTTCAAATGGCACTCAAAAGACTGCAATGTACGTAACAGGCAAATTTTTATTATTATTCTGTCCTTTGGGGCAGGTAAGGGTATAACCCAATTTATTTTAATACCTTGAAATAGGCTGTACTGAGAGAAGACTGGGATCTGAATTAATATGCAACATAACATGCCAAATAACCATTTGTAAAATCTTAGTAAGGATGATGACCATGATGTAATGTCAATTTTGAGAGATGCTCTGCTCACCCAATTACTAATGATAACATTTGAAAGCACCGAGAGAAATATCACAATGGTTTCTCCTTTCACAAATTCGAACAGAATTGATTAGACACTGCTTCCCATTAGTTGATTATTAGAAAATAAGCTAAAGGTGCTTTGATTTTGTTCTCTGAATGTCAAGTAACCCAGAAGCTCATAGTCTTCAGTTTTCCTAGCTAATTGCCAATTCTCTTGCCAAAATGCCGTTTAATGTTTTAGACTGAAATTAACCATCCATACCTTGCAGAATGTGTATTTAAGAGAACTCTGGCTGATGCCTTGCAAATTTCGATTTGCAAAATTCTTGTAAACATGTAAAAATTAACTTGTACATCTGGTTTATGTAATTAACACTTTTTCTTCTTCAAGGAACTAAGATGAGACTCCAACATTCGAGAATGGCTGTAATCCAAATCTACTAATTTTCTTTTGTTTGTTTCTTCTTCTTTCTTTCTTTCTTTTTTTTTTTTTGAGCCAAGCTGTGTCAAGAAGAAAGAAGATGAGAAAAGCAAGGATGCTGTATTTGTCCTTGTGCACATGCACATAAAATAGCCAGTA